GTAAATGAAAAATCTCTTAATCCTGGACTCAAATGCTGAGCATTCCTTACACCACTAGGACTTTGCAGAGAAAAGGACAACACTTTGAAAATAGCCCCTGGGAGATGATAGCTGGAAGTTATTCCCTCCCCCTGTGGCTGCCCTTTGCCAGCCCACGGGAATCTTCTTCCCAGGCACTGCCTTCCCCTCCTGGTATTTGGGGAGAAAGGGAAGAAGGTGTGAGGAATGGCAGCCTGTTCCCCAAGGGATTCTTGCAGATGTGCCAGACTCCACTACTGGAGGAGGGAAGGTGGAAAAAGTAAAAATCACATTCCTCCATCCTTCAAAGACACATGCATGATCCCCCGAACATCTCATATTGCAAATGAACAGCAATGACCCTGGAAAGTAGTGTTTGAACAGAAACAGTTTTGTTGCTGAGGGATGGGGGGACGAGAAGCAGAAGGAAATGTCCTTTAAGGAATAAATTCCTGAGCCCTTTTCAATTGCTGTCATTGTCCATTTCTCTACCAATGATGCGGTCTTTCGGTGTCCATAAAATCCCTGTAGATCTATAAAATATGAGGCATGTATCTCTCATTTAATCATCTTTGTGGATCAGATAGGAATGTAAATTAACACCTGAAATCTTTGCTGATAATATATGGCAAGGATCGTAGCAGGGTTTTAACTACTCAAAGGGAACAAGGAACCAAGGTTTTCTTTTAGAAGTTTCCACTATATTTCGTGATTTTGATTATTCTTATTTTGTTTTCTTCTCTTTTTTTGTTAGTTACTAAATAGGAAAGGTTAATTAATCGGTGGCAGACCAAAGAAAGAGAGAGGGGAACAAGCTTAGATGTCATTCAACTCAGCTTCTGACCAAAGTGTTAGCCCACTGTACATGACATTAAAATTATAATTACCTAATTTCTTTTTAAACAGCTGTTCCACTTCATTGCTCTCATTTTAAAGAAAAAGGAAATTTTAAAATCTTTTGATGCATAAACCTTTTCTGAGAACATTTCAATTTACTATGCTGTGTCCTTTAACTCCTTCAAAAATAAATCAATTTGGAAATGTCTTAGTTTCTTTTATTGATGATAAACTGTTGTATTTTTCTACCCTCTGTTCCTGGTGGGTCTTATTTTTGGCCTCTCCCAAAGCCACCTTAGGACATATTTGGAAAGTCAAGGTGACTCCTAATTCTAGCCCACATTAATCAATATGGGTGGAAGCCTCCTGCCAAGGGGTCATCACTAATTATGTGATTATCACCATTTTCTCAGCAGGGGGGGTGCGGCAGGCACAGGCAGCCAGAGTCAAAACCAAAGTGACGGGAACACAGCACAGGGAGTCGCCAGAGACCCGTTTCCAGGGGTCAGAAGGTGGCTGCTTGACCCGGGTCTGGGAAGGGCCCGAGATGGCTTTGGCCACTTCTCTGAGGACGGTCAGCCCTGCTCGCCTAGTCCCTGTCAGTCCAGGTGAGCCCCTCAGGACCACCATTCTCCACGGCCCCCGTTCGGCCTATTCACAGACATTAATAAACAGATCAAAATGAACCTTGAAAAATAAGTCCAGACAAGCAAGGACACACACAAATCACTCTTGGACAGTCCTAAGCTCTTGCTTTCCAGACTCCTATTTTATCTGAGAATAAGCTGACCTTACAGCTTCGGAGAATATATCTGTATTCATAAAGAGGACATTAACATATCATCTACCTACCTTTCCGAAAGCTAAAACACCGTTTGATCCTTCTGTATGTGGTTTTAGGGATGAAGGGAGTTGAGGCTAAGGCACCTGGGGGGCGGCCCCCGGCATTCCGGTCTTCAGGCATCATACGGCCCGAAGTTCCGAGCCCGGTTCTGGCTGCCTTTAAAACCTGCCTCTGAGCCAAACCCCACGGCCACTCCTTCTCATGTTTGTTTATTTGTTAGGTTCGAAGTGCTGATTCCTAGAACTCGAAGGTTTGAACCGCCACGTCCTGGCTTAGGGAAAAGTTACCACCTCTCATTTACTCCTTTCGGCAAAAAAAACCCTTCCTTTTCTCTTTCCTAAACCTTGAGTTTTGAGGTTTTTTTTAAGTTTCTGCAGACATTCCAAAATGCCACAGGAAACCTGCAGCCAGCGAGCTACGTCTCCCATTCAAGCAGCAGGAATTGGTTTTTGTATTTTATTAATATTATTAATATTATGAACTGTCTTCTCAGCTGGATCGAGATTCCTCGGGAAAGGTCAGCAAATAGCCCTGTGCAAGAGGGAAGAGGAACAATGACAAAAAGGTCCCTGAGGAATACTTCACGACTGTCCTCGTTGGCTCCTTTCATCTGAGCAAAAGGGGAGGAAAATCATGGCACCTTTTCCAGAAAGCACCGCGGGGCGTGCTGGATTTCTTTCAGAGGACTCCCCTGCTCCTTTACAGCACTGCTCATCCTCTGGTGCTCTCTGCGGGCTTCCGCCTTTTCCCGTCTCTCTCCCAACTCCCGCGGGAATCGCTGTGTCAGAGCAGGCGGGTGCCGTTCCCGGAGGGTCCTGGGGCTGCGGCAGGCAGCTGTGCGGGGAGCTTCTCCGCCCTCCGCCCGCTCTGTCTCCCTGTTCTCAGTGAGAGCTGGGCGGGGGCTGGCAGGGCCGCGGCTGCTCGTCACCGAGGCTGCGGCTGCGGCCGCCTCCAGCGCCCGCCGGTCACATGCGGCAGGTGCAGTTGCAGCAACCCGAGGGGGAGGGAGGATGCCACGCTGCGGCGTGGACCCCTTCCTTTTTTTTGACTTTGCGTTGACTTGCAGCTCTGCCCCTGTGCAGCAGCTTCACAGCTGGCTGGCTCAGCCCCTTCAGAAGTCACAGGCACCAAACCACCCCCAGGGGGTAAACTCTTTGCCCCCTCATACCTGTGTTTACTCCCTTCCTATACAAGATTTACTTTTTTTAGATCCTTTGAAATTGAATCCATTTGTGAGACCTAATGTGCATATCATTAAAACATATTTATGTGATATATATGTGTATGCGTGTGTCTGTAAAATAGAAAAATAGTTTAAATCCAGTGGCAAAGAGTCTGCAGGTAAAACGAAACAAATGAACTCAAGTGTGTGTGTGTGTGTGTGTGTTTATACATGCGAATATTTCTCTGGTTGGGGTTTGCAAACCAGGTCTGTTCCCGGCATTCTCCCGTGCTGTTGCCTGTGCCCTCTCCACCTTCACAGCCACCGACCCTCAGTCCTGCTCACTGAGCACTGTGCTTGCTGGGTTAATCATTCATCCACCGGGCTGTTCCCTGAGCAGATTTGGAATGCGAGTGCTGTAACCCCAGCCGACCCCCAGCCTCTGTGTCCCTTCCCAGCCGTTCGGCAGGAGTTGTGCAAAACCGTGAGGAGTGTAAAAAGGTCCCCCCACTAAAAACATCATTACTCTAACTGGCCTGCCCAGATAGGTAATGTGTTATTGTTGAAAGAACCATTATTAATTATTTCTGCCGTATAGTTCAGTTTTTTCCCCTGTGTCACAGCATGCTACTAAGACAATAAAGAGCCACCAAGCAGAGCTCAGCACCATCAGCGCAGAGGCCGCACTGCACTTGGAAGCACTTTAACGGCTGAACAATTCGCCGACCCGAGCACTGGTGTGGAGGGAACACTTGTCATGGCAGGATTGTGCAGCCGGGAAGTTAGAACTATTTTGTCCAATTTTCTTATTTCACAAGTGAGGAAAACTAAAGGCAAGGGAAGTAAAACGATGTATTCCAGATGACACAGTCGGTCTGTGTCTAAGACAAGACCACGTTGCCTCTTAATTAACCCCGATTGTCCGTACGCCAGTTATTCATCATAAGGATTGTTCGCAAATCGTATTTTTACTGGCTTGCTGGGTCACTGAATCAACTCTCTTCATTGGAAGACAGAAATATACAACCTGATTTTGTGAGTGGCTAACGTTAGGCTAGCACTCAGATCTAAAGAACCATTAATGAATAATCACTTTTCTAAGATCCTGGGCTAGACAGGTACATAAACATCGCCTCGAGAACAACTGAAAAGCAACCCAGTGTAAAAATAAACAAAAAAGAAAGCAAGAAAAAGAACAAACAAAAACTAAAATTTTCCAAAGCTAAATTAATGTTTTGAAATCTGAAATTTTTGGATCTGACGTTTAAGCAGGAACCCACTGTCCCTCAGCATTGTGAACAGAGAAGCAACTGTTTACGGGTGGCTTAAGCAGACAGCACAAAATGGAGGTACCTAGATTCAATACCGAACTTTTTATTTCGCTAAGGAGTTAAAAAGGAATGTCTGCTTTTCACATTTCCATGGGTTCCCTGCCCCCATTTGAATATTTGTTATAAATTCACTTTAATAAAAGGAAAAAGCCTATAATCCAAAGCCCTACATTTTATGATTTTCATTTAATAGTTTTTAATTTCTAGGAGATTGAAGAGCTAGGCAAACTCCTCAAGTGTGCCCTATGCTTTAATCAAATGTTCACTATTGTAATGGCAAAAAGGGGACATTTTGCAAATATATGCAACCTGAACAAAGATAAGCTTAAGTGCCTCATGAAAAACTTTAACTTTTTAAAAACACAGGTTATGAAAAGGCCACAATGAAATGCCTTCTCGGTAACAGTTACATTTAAAATACATCCAAAGGTGGTATGCTGTAATTGACAAATCAGGGTGAGGTATCACCTTCTCTTCTAAATTTCCTTGCAGATGCCAACTAATCAAGTGGATTTCATTTAGGATTAACAAGGTCTGGGTTCCATAACTAAGACAGGAAGGAAAAATGCATTCTCTTATGAAAGGCGATTATGGCAGTTCAGTAGTTTGGTTATTAATGACATGGGATCTAAATTAAACCTCTAGGAGTCACTTAGATATGTGTCTAACCACAATGTTGGACAATTTACTATTTATCTTGACGTTCGTCTATTTGAATATAGGAGCTGATAGTAACAACAGCTGGGGGAAACGGATGAAGAGGTTTGGTCTACCTTTCTGCGTTTCCATAATTTTTAAATGTACTCACCCCCGCCGAAAGGTCCCCATATGACTCGGCGGATGGACTTCACCCAGTCTTCCATATCATTTTGGGTGCTCGCCATGAGAAGGTAGCTCTCATGATTTGCTGTCATCCGATCTCGATCGCCTCCTGCAAAAACATGGTAACACATTTAGCTGAAGAGTCATCCAAAGATTCCTCATCATCAGCCTCCAAGGGAATCCCCTGAACACAGACTGGGCCTAATGGGACCGGCACTAGGTTCTACCCAATGAGGTGGAAATATTCACATGATTTCCGAATGGAACAACAACAAAAAAAATCTGCTTAAAAAGGAAAGGCTCTTATGTTTCCAAGAGAAAGCTGGAGAACAAATATCATTCCCCAAACAAAGCCTGGGTTTTTTTGTCCTAGCAACAGCCCATAGGTCTGCATTAACTCATAATCCAATCTATTCACAGGGAGCTGCTGAATAGGGAGAAATAGCAAAAGCAAAATGAAAGGCGGAGAAGGTGGAAAGTGGTCCATGGAGCTTGGGTTTTCCTTTGAGCAGGCGCTGAACTATCTGAGTACTGCCTAGTGCGCACACACAGCGAGGCCACCAAGACATCCTGGCTAAACGTGGCAGTTCAAGGAAACAGTAAGAGCCACATGCAACACTTTCGACCCCGAGTTCTTCCTCTGGCCTCTGTTCTGGAGGAGAAAACTATTCCCACCTAGATCAAAACTTCAGGAGAGCAAACAAAGAGGGGCGGAGTGAAGAAGACGCATGCTTGGCCAGCCACAAAGGCCAAATCAACACCCCAGATGGCCCTCCCACATGAGAATGAGCTCCAGGAAACCAGCAGCGTCTCCATGCAAAACGTTGACGCTTTCTCTAATATTTTTCCCCAAAGAACAACTCATACACTTTAAAACCTTTATAATCTTTCACATCAACTTTGAAGTGCTAGACTTACAAAGCATGGAATTTAATTTCTTAGAAGTCTTTTATAGTGCATTTAAGTTTCCCTGGTGACTTAACTTCCCCACTTACAAAACAGGTATAACCGTCTCTGACCTTGAAAGAGGTCTTGAGGCAGGGTTTTGTTACAGCTTTTATTTTTAAAAGAGTGTTTCTAAGACAAGTATCAGCAACTGCACTGCTTCACCCTTTTTGAAAATGATTAGTTTTGCTCACAGAAGAAATAATTCAGGAAATGGAATAGTAAGTATTTAACCAAATTCTGATAATATGTTCATATTATACTAACTTCTAAGGTGCTCAAGTACATATCAGCACTTAATTTTCACTAAGTGTTGTAAACATGATGCCTTGGGTTGAATTAACTCATATCCAAGTGTTTGTTTGGTTAAGACATCGTTTGTTTGTTTGTTTGTAAGTGGCTCTAAACCCCTTTATGAGGAGCTTGCAGGTTCCAAGGCACAACAGGCACCACTGCTCTCTATTCTTTCAAGCTCCATCTAACTCACACACAGCTTTGCAAACTGCAGGTATTCGAGTTTGTGGCCTCTGCATTCTATGTAGATGCCCTAGACTGAGAAAGACAACTATTCTAACACTGATGTAAATTTACTGGACAGGTGAAAGGTCAGAGAAGTGCAATCACTTTAAGCCATCCAGTTGAGCAACTAGAATTGGTGTTTTACATTTTAATACAACTAGATGACAGCAGGAGGAGGGGTCAAGAGATTACATGAAATAGATTTCCTAATGTTGACCAATCTCTCCAAAGAAAACAAAACTAGCCTTCTTAAGTCATGGAGAACGTTTCACTATTGGGGAAATAATGATCTTTTTACACCTGTATGTCCACGCTAGGTCAATCATCACTTTAAGCAACTTGTATCTGAAAAAGCTTAGGTTCAGGAGTCAAAGAAACCCTGTGAGAAGCACAATTTTATCTTATATTAGCTGTTTGACTTCTAGGGAATTACATAACTTCCGGAAACTTAGTGTCCTGAATCATACTTTAGAAGTAATAATACCTTCATAGTCCATTTTTGTGAGTATTAAACAAAATAAAGTAAATAAAAATACCAGCACTGTGTTAGGCTAAAATAGAATCTTTGTAAATATTAATTCCATCTCATTTAACTGCCTCCCACTCTTACCAATGCAAAAAGGACATATTATAAGAAATTGACCTCAGAGATACTATGTCTAATAAATGCTTGGGAAGAATTAGACAATAGTAACAGGCATTTTTTTTTAAAATGTTATCTTTCGTTGAGATATATATGAATAATAATGCATATTAGAATTATACCCTGCACATGTATGTAGACACACCACACCATATGCATGTGCATGGCTGTCTGACATTTATAAATGGCAGGAGTAACTAAATGGCAAACTAAAAAGATGCTTCATTTGGCATGGCACAGTACTAAAAAGTATTAATAATTCTGTATTCTGATCCACTTATACCACAGTGCTGAGCCAAAGGAAATTATCATTGGAAATCAGAATGTTATAATTACTGTCTTTGCCTGAAGGATGCTTAGCAATTCAGACAGCAATATCCTGCTGTGTCACTCCCAGGCTTAGTAATGAGAGTGAGTGACAGCCACTACAGTTTGCGGCAGAGGAAAAAGAGAATGATAAGCGCAACTGGCCATTATCCCATGACTTTTCATTTGATTCTTTATCTCTGCCAGTGGTATTCTGTGTCTGACCCTGGACCCCATTTAGACTGCCAATCACAGATGTGAAATCCCATCAGCGAATTTCACCCATGGATATAGATCTTGATTTCTCAGTGTGGTAGCAAGACAAGGGAGGAAATATTTAGAAAATCTTTTTCTGTGAGTCTTGGTGGAAATACAGACTCATTATTAAGAATGTGACAAACAATGATATAGATTTATATGGATACGAACCAGATACTCTGTATTAAAAATAGGTGATTTCTAACTGAAAACGCCATCTATTCCAGATGGCGCATAACCCCTCCGTTCTAAGAGCCCGGTACTGCAACCTGCAATTGAAGGAGCTCAAAAATAGAAAGGTATGATCAGATAAATAATAAAACTCAGAACTTTGACTTTCAACTCTGTGGATCAATCAATCTACATTGGGATGGAGAAGTGTGGAGGCGCGGGGTCCACTCAGTGGGACCATTTGGAAACAAAACTTCCTGGGAAAGAAAATATAATATCTAAATCAGACAGACCTGCAGCCTACAGTTGTTAAACCTGTGCCCCGTCTGAGTTTTACAGACATTTTATACATCCTCAGGGGTCTCTACCGCAATGGCACTGTCATTTAACGGCATATTAAATTTTCTCTGAAGAATAAGGTTCAGCCAATATAGCCCAAATGCCATGTATAGTTTGGCAGATAGATGGCCAACAGAATGAACATCTCTTCTGGTTAGTCAAGCTACCAGAAATATTTACTTTCTGTTTGGCAAATAAATTACTCCTTGGCCGCAAGGTGAACATTCTTGGAGGGTAAGTACTACAACAAAGAGGATAAAGCCACTGGTAAGTTATGGGGCTCAATAGCTTCCCAGGTATGATTTCAAGCTCTTTGGTGAGTAAATAAAATTTACCTCTCAAAAAGGTAAACTATAGCCTAACATATGTTATTGATCCTAGTCAAGTTTTCGATACATTGTTATATATAGGATTCTAAAATGCCGTGTAAAAATATGGTCACTTATTAAATGTCCTACTAGTTTACTACGTGATAGGTAATTATAATGTGAGGAATGAAATTTCTTATAGTTTTAAATTTCTTGTCCGTTATTCTTTCGTTCCTTTGGCTTCCATAATGGATCTTGACAAGAACCAAATCACCATAACTTTCTTTACTACTTTTTCTCTTTTAATATGAGGGAGTAATAGGACGAAGGCAGGTCTCTGGGACATAAATATTTTCTTTGATTAGTCTACAATTTGGATTGGTAAATCATTTATTTTTCTTATTTTTTCTAATATATTTTAGTGCCAAAAACAGATCAGAAAGTATGACCTCCTTAGAATAATTGAAATAAGATAACTGGTCTTGAAAAGATTCTTTTTAGCCAAGAGAAAATAAGGTGATGCACTCCGTAAGTTAAAGGACACATAAACAGAAAAGGGTTAACCTTGCCTTTAAGAATGCAGGACATGTTTGCAAGTGAGAGGGCACATTGTGCATGTAAACAAAAGAGAAAAGTAATATTTATTGTATGCTCACTATGTGCCAAGCACTGTGCTTGGCATTCCACACATTTTATTTTATTTAATTCACGCAGTAGTCCTGCAATGTAGGTCTTGCTATCTCTGTTGTAAAAGTGAGATAACTGAGGTTTACAAATATTAAGGACTTCAATGAATCTAAGAATCACCTGTCACCGGGCCACTGACACTCTGCTCCTTCATTCTCCATGACTGAGGATTAGACTACTCTTTTTCATGCTTGCATTGTTGGGAAGGTTAATGAAGAGGTCCATATAACTGCGGATTTCTTTATGGTAATGGTAGTAATTAATGACAATGCATTTCAAGGGAGGTTGCAGCAACTTAATTTTCTTCAGATCCATTTTTATTTTGGGTTCTCCAGCTCAACCACTCTGAATACCATGAAGTGTCCCTCTATAACTCTTGCCCTTTGCTTCTTTCCTCTCAGTCACAAAAGCATAACTTGCCACCAGCTACGGTCCTTCCATCCATCACTCCTCTCTCCGTACTCAATTGTTTACATTCTTTGATGTTTTTTTTTTGTTCCTAAAAATGTGAATAGGTAATCCAGAAAAAAATGAGTTGGCAGATGAAATAAACTTAGGAAATGTATGACATTATACCCCTCTGGAGTGATATACGAGGTACATCAGCATACTAAAAACTCTGAAAAGTTATTCAGCCAAAAAACTTCGTTAAATTTGTATGCACTAGCAATTCCTAAACTTAATTCGATCTGAAGCATTTGCTTTCCTTTAATACCTATGGGAAAATTGTCTGAGAAACTCAGTTTCACAAATACTAACATTCTGTAATATATAAAATATGAAGGGTTCAAATATGGATGCAAAACAAAGATAGATGTTTCTATGAAACTAGTTTAATGTTTTGCTACACAGGACTGACATAAAATAAAATTAGTATTAAATTAGGTGTGGGCAAACAACAGTAACTATTGGTTTAAAAAATCATACCTCAAT